AGCACTAAATGGGCGTGGCTCAAAGGGTATTTCACAGGGATCTGCACCGGCATGCAATATGAATAAATAAAAGGCAGGGTGCGCTCGCTTCATATGAATTTACGCGTTTGTAATTACGTAGAAATTAAGCTGGCATCAACATTTAATTGCTAAAAGCCCCAGACGCAACGCTAGCCAGCTACATATATAGGTTTAGATATATATATTAATGTGTATGTGTGTGTGTTTGTGTGTGTGAGTGTGTCTCTGTGGAAGCAGCCACGCATGTTAAAGAGGGAACGAGCATTTAATTAACAAATTTTACGCATTTATTTTCTATTTTCATGTGCGCCAACGACGACGATGCTGCTGACCAAACCAAACCAAAAAAAAAATCCGTGACAACATAATTTGCCTGACCCCACCGCATCTCCACCAAAAATAAAATGGCGGCGACTTTGTGCCAACACCAACACCACCAACAACAACAACAACTAATGCCAACCACATCCACAAACCACAATCGGCACAGTGAAAACGAAGGACATTGATGCCGTCGAGGGCAAATCTGTGTCGCTGCCCTGCCCCATTGCCGAGCCCCTGCATGATGTTTATATGGTCTTATGGTTTCGTGATAATGCGGGCATACCTCTATATAGGTGAGTACTATCCCACACACACTCTCTCTCATGCGCTCTTGCTCTCTTTCTCTTTGTTTCTTGTGTGTGAGTGCCAGCCTCATTTAGCTTATTGTCTGCCTCAGTGTGCGTATGTGTGTGTGTGTGCGTCTGTGTATGTTTATAAGCATTTAATTAAATGCAAACGAGCCTCGAGAGCAGCTGCCTTTTAAATCGTGCGGCCCCGCATCGTACAAAAGTATGCTACAGTAATTTTCTGCTATACCCCTTAACAGGTTCAGGCAATGGGGTATATAGGTTTCTTTGAGACAATATAATAAGCACGTTTATGCTGATAATTAATTTAGCGCCAGTGTAAAAATATTTATTATCAAGCAGAAGGCCTTAGAAACCTTTGCTTAATTTATAATTAATTTAAAATTTAAAGGAAATTAAATAATTGATAAATTAAAGTATAATAGTTAGCATTATAGGTTATAATAATATATATATAATAATAGGTATAATAGGGTATTCAAGCTTCCTGAAAACTATGTGCCATTTCATTCCAGGGTATGGCTCAGTCGAATACTCGAATTTTGTGTAATTTAACTTAAGCTGTTTATTTTTTGCACCTGCTGCCTGGCAGCTGATAAGTGGCCTTTGGTCTCTGGATATGTGATTTAACTTTTGTGCGTATGCCAGTGCACGTGTATGTGTGTGTGTGTGTGTGTGTGTATTTTTGTTGTCACAAGGCTCACAGTAAATTAACTTAATTATATTTACCTAATTTCCTAATTAACCTCAGACGAAAAGCCACAAGAATTATGTGGATAAATGATGTTGAATTTCTTTTATATGGATTCAGGTATTATCGTTAAGCTGTTGCTAAGCTTGCGGCTACTTCAAATTCTTGTGGCTATTTGGCATTGTTTTCGTTGCTGTTGCCTGGCTAACAACAAATCAGTTCAGTTCATAAAGAACTCCATACGAAAGTGCCCCGGCAAAGTGCATGGCTCGAGCTGGCCCACTCCCTCGAGCTGCTCTGCTAATTGCATTCACGACATTTTCGCGCCGCGTTGCGCCTTTTGGCTGTCAAATGCAACATTTAAGTGCTATATCTAGCTCTAGGAATACTAAGTGAAGTTCTGACTTGGTAACTAGCAGTGGCACAACTAGCTCAAATAACAGTTAAAAGTTTTTAATATGAGCATAAAGCTGGCAAGGCAGCAATGAAAATAATGAAGGATTTTTAGGTTTGTTTTGTATTTCAAATTAATGGAAATTAAATATAGTTTAATATTTAAGGATATGGATCCATAGTTAAAGATTTGTGTTTTTAATATAAATTTGTAAAATAAATTATATAAAATATAATATTAATATAAAATATAAAACTTATATACATATGATTTCTAATATATAATATATCAAATATAATATATAAAATATAATATTAATGATAATAATACCATAAAGGCATTAACATTTTATTTTTTGATGATAATGTATACGATTTATATATATTTAGATTTCAGTACTAATCACTTATCTCAAATTAATTATTTATATAATTAAATTTTATTTATATAATTAGCATCTTGTCAACGCTCTTCATTCGTAATCACATCCACAGTGTATTTAAATTTCATACTCTCAGCTTTTGGCCATTTTCATTACGCTCAATTTGCTCGGGTACACGTAGCGTATTATTTGGGCATCAACATAGGCCCCCAAGAGCAGTTATTAAGCTTAGGCCCCATAGAAGTCCCACAGCACGTTTCACTCTGTTTAGCCACATTTTAATTTTTTTTTCTAATATTATTTTTTTAGTTTTTAATTAAATGGGCAGCCAGCAAAAAACAAGAGAAAAAAAATGAAGAAAGTGAAGGCAAATGGAGCAGAATTGGGTTAACGTTGCTCTCGCTTTCACACTAAATCGTGCTCGCTCTGCCTCCATCTCCATCTCCCTCTCTCCTGGTCTTTCTTTCACTCGCTCTCTCTCTCTCTGTCTCTCTCCCTTTCTGTGGATGTTGCTTTTACTTGAACGGCTGCCCGCTTGGCACGCAGCAATTAAGTTGTTGCATTTTGCACTGTCGCCGTTGACGTCGACGTCGACGTCGACGCTGTCGTTGGCTGCCCGCATAAATTATTGCGTGTTGCATACAAAAGTGCGCTTAACGGCCCACTTGCCGCAGAGGCTCTCAGAAAGTGGCTGCTACAATAACAGTAGCAGCAACAACAGCAACAGCAACAACAACAACAACAACAAATGCAATTAACCCGCACAATACTTGACTTTCCCTTTTTTGGTGCTCATTGTCGTGGTTTGCCTCCGCAACTCGGGCAACAACAGTTGTCATAAATTTAAAAACAAAAACCATTATCTGATATGATTTAAGTGCGAGCATAAAGAAAATTCATATTTAAGGAATAGAAATATGATAAATTATAATGTAAATAAATTAATAAATATAAGAAAATTTAATAATGATTTAGTTAGATACTAAAATAGTTAGTGGTTTTAAAATTATACCTGAATAATTTTGTATTTGAATATTTTGACTGTTTTATACACTAACACTATTTTATATATTATTTAAATTTTTACTTTTTAGTATTCAAACAAAAAATAACAAATATCGTAATATGAAATAAGAAAAAAACCCTACATACAGACATTAAAAATCTAGCAACAAACAATTAAACAAACTGAAAAGCTGATTTAAAGTTTTGCAGCTTAGAATTATTTATAGAAATAAAATTATAATAACAATTTTGTTCATAGTATTTACTCAAAATAGCAGCGTATTTTTTGCAATTCAACAATTTATTTTTAAACTTTATTTTATTTACTTTGCTATTGCTGTTTTTCAAATGGTTAAGCTCCATGATTAAATTTATCTCTGCTGGCAAAATGTGATCAAATATATGAAAAACAAATATATACTGAAAATAGACAATAATAATGCAGCAGATATCGAGAAACCCTGAAAAGAATTTATTTTGAATGGCAATAATTTAATTTATTTATGCTTGCTGAAAATAACAAATAAAACTAACTTGAATCGGATGAACCAATTAGGAATGTACGTATGAACAATAGCAATATATACAGAAATATATATGTACATATATGTATAAATATATATCCTGTTTGCTTGCAAATGCATAAAGTTCAATAGAGCAGAGCTCAAATGCGAGGCAGTTTTATGGCCATTTGAATGAAACTGCAGCGCTCAGCATTTAGCCAGGTCTTAAGTGTTATGGCCTTCTGTGTGCTGATGCGGCTGCTGCTGCTGCTGCAGTTTTAGCCTAGGTAAGACTTGGCGCATTTAATGCAGCAGCAAGAGGAAGAAAATTGAAAAAATGTTTATCTACGGGGCCATAAATTCTATTTTGGCAGCCAGCCCGTGGCAAGAGCATCCTCCGCACCTCTTCTCTCTCCATATCTCTGTCTGTCTCTCTTTCTCTGTCTTTCTCTAATGAGCAGCTCAGATATAAATGAGGCTAATTTTTGGCGCTCGCAATTCTCAAAATGAGAATAACAAAAACTCAATTATACACATAAAAACAAGAGCTGAGCCCGAGCTGCTCAACGAGTTCTATATATAAACTCTGTGTGAAGTCCAGAATTTATATAAACCCGATTTCATTTTGTTGCAACTAAAATATTTACGCTCCAGCATGATAATAATAATAATTTTCCTTCTCTCTCTCCCCCATCTCTGCTCTCCTTGCAGCTTCGATGTGCGCGATACCATGGCCATTGAGCAGCCCAGACATTGGTCAGCTCCGGAGGTGTTTGGCTCTCGTGCCAAATTTCATTTTGACTCGCAGCCAGCTACATTGGAAATTAAGGTAAGATTCGCCATGGTTAACCAAGAGCAACTCGCAGTTTTCTTCTTTCATTTTGTGTGTGAATGAAATTACGATTTGGAACCAAATGAATTCTTTAAATATTCCATAGAGTAGAGGGGAAAGTGGGAAGTGCTCAAAATACAAAACCCAAATCGAAGCATTTGGACTATTTAAGAAACTTTCCACGAAATGTGGAAAGGGCACAAATATTTGGCCACCAAAAATTTTAAAATTCAATTGAAGTTTGTGCTTTGGGCAAAAGTGGATAGAAGAAAATGTAAATGGAGTGAGAGTGGATAGAATGACGAATCAGAATATGCTTTATAGATAGAATATATGTATCTATATATGGTGCGTTAATCTTGAAAAAGATTTATAATGTAGTCTAATATGTAAATAGGATGAATTCCCAATCTAAGCCAAGCCAATATATTTAGATATTCAATTGAATGAAAGTTTTCTGCCTTTGCATTCAGCTAACTGTGGTTTCCATGGCATTTGAAAGGGGCTTTCCAATTGGGGAAAATCTGAGAATGGCAAATGGCAAATGGCAATTGGCATTGCGAATGCGTGTTAGGAATTAAGTCAGCGCGAATAACAGCAAGCGGATGTACCAAACATTTTGCAAATGGGCAAAATGCCGGATTTGCGGAATGCCAAATACTGTTAGAAAGCTGCGACTGGGACTGTGACGGTGACTGCGACTGCGACGGTGACTGCGGCTGCGGCTGCGGCTGCGGCTGCGGCTGCGGCTGCGGCTGAGGCAATGCGAAAACAAATTTAGATATCAAAAGTTGTTAAATTGCCTCGCGCACGCGAAATGTTTATTAATGTCTTGCATGTTTACAGATAACTTGATTTACCGTTATTGTCATGCAATGCACACACACACACACACACATACACATTCATACAGACAGACATACATATACGTATTACACTGTGTGTGTGGCAGCTACTTGAACTAACGCCTCGGCGCCACAAACCGTTGACTTTTAAAGGCCAACCTGACTTGGGTTCGGTTCCTGGCTGTTGGAATCCTTGGACAGTTCCTGGCTTAAGACAACCTGCTGGGAAGGCTAACGAGCTGCATGTTCACACAGACACACACACACACGCACACACAGTTGAGTGTGTGGAGTTGAAAATGAATGTGAAATGCACACGAAGAGGCAGCCTGAAGGATTCTCCAATAAATTTGCCATTCGCGGTTGCATGAAGCTTCATAATGCAAAGCGATATAACAGAAATTTATATATGTGCATACATATATGTATATGTATATGAATTTATGCACATATAACTCAAACAGTCCCATGAATTATGTGCGACAAATGGCTGGCACCTGGGTGAGGAGTTGACTTTATAAATGAATTTTAATTGCCTTCCAATTGCCGGGAAATTAACCTAACGCCAGCTCGACTATAAATAACGAACAAGTAGTTAGAGAATTCTCCCGTTCAGGCGAATA